GAGGGGGCGCAACGCAGCCTTGGTGGAGACCAGTGCCAATGCTGTCAGGTTTTGATTTAGCGCCATTTATTCTGATGTAGCACTTGTTATCAGCGTTTGGTGATTGAACAGCCCGTAGCAACTGGCCATCGACCCGATATGTCTGCAAGCACGCCCATAAGCTTTGTGGAAGATCCGATCGTAGGCTTTGTCTAGGTTCTCAAAGCACGCGTAAAGCAGATGAGCGAACTCCCACGATTTCTCGATAATCTGACATAATGCGAATATTTGATCATATGTGCTTTGGCCAAACTGGAAGCCTCATTGCTCCTTTTGTATTAGTCAGTTGTTCCGTGGCACATCGTTTCTAGCACCCTTGCATAGACTTTATGCGGGAGGCTCAATCAAGTAATGCCCTGATAATTGGGATCAGTGGAGTCTTCCTTCTGGAACAGAGGTTCTACAGCCCACGTTCTTCAGTCCGCTGGTGTCTTTCCCGCAGCCACTGGAGTTTTATGAGCACGCGTACGCCAGTTCATGCCTTGTTCCTCTAACGCTTTGAGCATTTCAAGGCGAATTTCATCGACTGTTGCAGCCTTTCCGCTGTTCAACTACAGAAAGACTGATATCTGTTTCCTCCTGCTCTTCAGTCGAGTTTTCCTGCAGTTACTCAGAGCTAAGTTGTTCCTCGAAGTACTCTCTCCAACGCTGAAGAATGCTCTCATCATCGGTAAGACAGTTCCTATACTTGTCGTTCAGGAATCTTAAACTGTCCTTCTTTTCACCCCGAAAGCGGCGGACAGTCTAGGAGAATACCTTGTTAACCGTCCGGAAATTCGACTCCAGTACAGCTTTCATTTAGGAAGGCACGCACTTTTAAGTAACTTATGCCGTGGAAATAGACATATCGCAGTAATATTTAAAATAACCTTTACCTTACCTTTAATAATTTTGGAGGTGTGGAGATTTACCACAACTAGAGCATATCACATGTTTTTTAACTTGTTTTGTCCCGCGGTTTTGATGGTGGTCACTGTAAAGAAATCCGCCTCGTAACGATATATCGTAGCACATATGATGATTTGGAGGGCTCTTTCAGAAAGAAGCACCTATTAAACTGTACCTTTTTATCTATAGGTTACCGGGTTAGAATCCTAAAGGCCTTCTTTCAACGTATCTTCTGACAAACTAGGAAACTGTAAAGGTTAGTACCATAGAGTGAGCTGTGAGTGCAGCTGTAGCACTGCACTATCGAAGAAAGACCGAATGGCCCTGATTACTTTAGATCAAGTATCGTTACTTTAAACGGACAAGTTTTCTGTTACAGACTTTGAAGTTTATGCATTTCCGTTGAATCAAGAAAGATTGTTTTATCTTTTTATCTACTGGCCGAAATTGTGCGTCATGGTAATTTTCCAGCTTTAAATTGGTTGCACCTGTGAACT